GGGGAGCCTCGGGGGTGCGAGGGGGCTGCGGGGCACCGGCGCGTGGGGCCCGGCCCCGGGGGTGCCAGGGAACCCTGTGCCGCCCCGGGTGCAGTGCGATGATGGGGTTTGGGGTCGCTTTGTTTGTTTTTGTCAGATGTGAATCCAAATGGAGCAGTCGGAAGGAGGCGAGCAGAGCCAGCAGCAGCCGCAGCCCTGGGGGAAGCTGATCCGGCTGGGTGCTGATGAAGCAGAGCCGCACGTCCTGCTGCTGAAAAGAGAATGGACCATTGGGCGGAAGAAAGGTGGGACAGGGACGCGCTGCGCTGGCCTAGGGCGGTGTTCGGGGGACAGCAGCCATCCCCCCTCCTGGCTTTTACAGCGTTGGAAGGTGGACTGAAACTAGTTATGTTTGGTGCTTTCAGCTCTTGGAGGTGCTCGGCAGGCCGCCCCATATTCCTAATTTACCTCTTAGTTGTGTGAATAAGTAGTTTTATGACCTTTTCTTTCTCGGCAACTTGTGGCACGGGCACGTTTCAGAGTCAATGTGCCTTTTAGGTAGTCTGTGGCAGTTTATATAAATAAGGAAAACCGATTGTTGATTCAGAAGTTTCTGTGCTTCAGTCCTGTTTACATTCTCATTTCACTTCTGTGGTTAAACTAAGTTGGAACTGCAATACAAAATGCTTCGACTTCACAGAAAAGAAAACACCCACATAAAAGCCCTTAATTCTTCTGGCCATATAAAGACTGCCAACAAGTACTGAAAGTTTGTCTGAGAGTCGATTTGAAAGCTTTGTTCTCAGAGTCTAGAACTTGTACTGCTTGCCTCTATTTTAAAGGATTTTTAATGCTTACTGTATCTGAAAAAAGGACTGAAGTGTTTTAACTTCCTTTTACTCTGCTTTGACAATGCTAATTTTCTGTTTCCTGTTCATCAGTTCAAGCTGTTTGGCTGATCAGTCACTTCCTGTAAATAGTTGTGAACAAACACCAGATGCTATAGCTCTATGAGAAAGGCAGATAGTGTCTCGTAGGAAAAATGTTTTGCAAATTTACACTTGGTGATATCTATTGAAATTGCTTATCATTAAGCTGTGGGTAAATTCTTCAAGCCGATGTCTGAAGGTTGTCTGGCAGAAAAAAATGTGAATGCTTTCTTGTTCAGTTGCTTTCATAGCTGTTTGCTAATGGATTAGTTAGATGGATGGTTACTAGAATACTAAATTGTGACTTTATAAACAGTACTTACGATTTTTCATAAGCATTAGAATTGGTTTTTTTTGAGGCAGTGGCTGCTGCTTTCCTTCTGGATCTGTTGTTGGGCAGGCTGAGATCAGTTCACCCACAGTGGGAATAGATGGAGGGGAATCATGGTTGTTAATTATAATTTCGGTTTAAGTAAGTGTTGCTTTGAATATTCAATGTTAAAGTGAAGTAAAAAGACAAGATTTTCTCAGAGCCCTTCAGTTGTGGGTAAGAAGGTTTCCATCACATCGTCATGACACTTCTCCTGTCATCCTAAATCTTAGTCTTGGATTTGTGGTTCTCTTCAACTTCATTAACATAATTCATTAATATAACGCTGTTAATAGAGATGAGGAAAACTTTCCTGTTTCGAAACAAAATGGCTGTAAGATAGAACAGTGATAATTTTTTTTTTTTAATCAGTTATTGATTCTACTACTCCCGAATACACCAGAATGAAACAGAAGTTAAATCCAATGAAACAGCATCACAATGATGTGGAAAAAGAGCTGAGTGCTGTGAGATGTGTGCCTTTAGGGGTTAAACTGAGCACTTCAGATATGTGTGGATTTATTTCTGTACCACTCTAGAAAGAGTAATTGTGATTTGATTTCCATCTTTGAGGACTAGGATTGGGGGAAAAAAGGGAACTGAAACACCTTCAAATGGTTGAAATGTTTATATCAGCACATGGGGCTATCTCACCACTTGTGTTTGTGTGTCTCACACTAGGCTGTGTTGCCTGTGTGACAGCAGGAGTTTTGAACTATTGCATATGTACATGAGTCAGTTTGTGTTGCATTTATAGCTATGTAGAATGCTGATCTGACTGTGTAATGTGTATTTTTAAGCTTGCTGGAAAATCTTTCTTTTTAAGGCTGTGACTTATCTTTCCCTGGCAACAAGTTGGTGTCTGGAGATCACTGTAAAATCATAGTGGATGAAGAGTCTGGTCAAGTGTCATTGGAAGATACAAGGTTGGTTTCTCAGAATGTTCTTGGAGGGACTTTTGTCAAAAGCTCAGCAGGTATTTGATACTAACCCTGAGCTACCATAATAACATATTTAATTGCCTTCTGGGTTGGAACAGGGATTCAACACGATATCCTTCAAAACCTCAAATGTGAAACTTTCCTCTTTGTCTTTGTACATCATGGGCACATTCTGCTGGACTGCCAAAGTGCCCCTGCTTTGTTGTCATCTGCAAACGTGCTAAGGGTGTATTCCCTCTCCTCTTCAAGGTTGTAAATAGAGATAGGTCCAGAATATCCAGGATAGATCCCTGGATAGATTCCTGCAGGGTTTATGCTCCCAGAAGCTGTGGGATGGAATGCTAAATTTTTTGGGAAAAAAGATGAGCTGGGATGTCTGGGACAGGTTTTTATAGTTGTCATTCTCCAATATAATCCTAAATTTCAGGATGTTTCAAACAACAAACCAAGCCATGTTTGCCTATCATGGCAGTCTCAGAGTGTAGCTATAAATCTCAGCTTGAGAAACTGTCCCTGGCAGAATTGGTTTAGACCGTTGGTGTGACAGAACAAGCTAAATAAATTGTGCATGATGCAGAAACATTCCTGCCTCTTTCTATTTTTTTTTAACCGCTTACCCACCCCCTGAGGTAGAAGGTGTAGCCAGCAGAAAACTAGCAAAGCCAAATTGAAATTAATTTTGTGCGTGGTATATTCATGAAAAGCTGAGGCTCGTTACAAGGTAGCATAGGAGAAAGGCTGCAGCCATGGAGCATTGCCAGGGAGCTGCTTGTGCCTGTTACACTTCTGTGTATCTAAAAACGAGTGAATCCCTGAAGTGCTCTCCCTCCTGTGAACTGAAGCGTGGCTGCCAATCGCTGAATCGAGAAATAAAACAGGTTTGATGTGACTGCTTCCAGAAGACTCTTCTTGGTCTTCCAATGTTTGTGCCAAATAGCAGAAGAGTCCCAAAAAATCAGGCTGAAAGAAGATGATTCTTGAATGTTTGAGTTGGCAGTACAGATGCTCAGAAAAAAATGCTGCAAGGTCAGCTTTTTCTTCTCTTAATTTGGAAACATTGCTGTGGTCAAGCTCAGATTTTTCTGGTGAAGAGGAATGCATTGAAGGAGGCAGTTAGTGGGACAGTCAAACTGAGTGGACTTTGTTTCTCTGTTGCGTCTAATCCAAAGAATATCATCAAATATATGTAGATAGCCAACATTTTATCTTCTGATAGCATAATGAGTTCTTGAATATACTTTGGAAAGAATTACCCAAAATTTTCAGGTGAAAGAAAATGTGTAGAGCATTCAAAATTATTGAGTAAATAAAACTTCAGAAGTAACAAAAGCCAAGAGTTAGCAAATAGTAAAATAAAATACTCAGACTCACCCTCTTTTGGGATATGTTTTTGCTTTTTTTTTCAAAACCATGCAGTAGTTGCTTTATAGTCTTAAAAGAAAACAAATTGTACAAGCTGACCTAATACAGTGGAGGCAGCAATTGGATTTCTCCCAGTAAAAGAAGTTGTAGGATTCTTCATTTTGAAAAAGAAATTTTAAAGACAACTAGTTTAATTTGTTGTTATTTTCTAGGATCTTTTCCTTTCAAGATTCTGAGTTGTAAGTGATGTTTCAGATCAGGAAACTGTTTAGACAAGGCTGATACTTTGACAAAGCAGGCAAGCAGATAGTCTCTTTCTGTGGGTAAATTGGAGGTTGAACTGCAGTTGGTGCTGGTGTCCGTTCTGCTACTAAATTCTCCTCACCCTCCAGTCAAAACTGTGTCTATGAACATGGGAAGAGTGGAGAATTACAGTTTAAAGGGATTCTGTACCTTAACAGAATTCAAAACTCATTTCACTTTATACAGTGTGTTCACAATTGTATGCACTTTAACAGATAACTGTTAACCCAGAAGCTTTAACATAAGATACATTCTTTTCCTGGATGGATGCAAATAATTATTAGAAATTGTTAGACTGGCATTTTTTTTGGAAGAATATGAAAGTTTCTTATAACACATAGATCATTTATCTACTTCAAAAGTAACCCTGTTCTGAGTGAAGGCAATCATATCAATTCTGCACAGCAGGTGTGATTGGGAAGTAAACAGAATTTATGGTTCATTAATGAAAATGTGGAGCCATCAACCACATTGTAATTGAGTCAGGGCCTGATTTTTTTCATTCACTGTTTAAAAAAAGTGACATTGGAACCTTTTGTGACATAGTTTCACAACACAGTTTATATCTGATAGTACTGTTTTTCTTCTCCCGTTGAAAAATGGTACAGCCAGTTGGCATCAATTCAATACCAAGTCCTGATAAATGGCCTTCATATTTGGGATTCTCACTGTACTTTCTACTTATTTTATGGGGAGTTTAATTTGTAACATCAGAGGAATGTACAAATGTCATAATTTATCATGTGTGTCTGGTTAAAAAAATACCACAACATTAATCTGGAATGTCACCATATCTGTTAAAAGCCTCATGCTAAAGACTGGAATTGGAAATGAAAAACCAATATAATTATCTGGGATTGTTGAATAATTTTTTCCCTTTGGTTGTTGGCTGAGAGATAAATACAACTGCTTTAGTTTACTAATGCATTGAAGAAAAGCTTATTATTTTCTGTGTTAAGAGATATCCATTTATTCCTACTTCATTTGGGTCCATGTGTGCCAAATAATTCATTAATTAGCTCTTACTGAAGTCTGTGTAACTACAGAACTGAAAAGATTTGGCTGTCTGTAGCAAATTTGATGAGCAGTCTTGCACAGCTATTTTTGCATCTTGCTTTGTGAGACCAAGCCTGAGTGGTTACTAGATGTGTAATGTTTTGGGGTTTTTCCTGTCTCCAAAAATACCTTGTGTTATTGTTCCCCAGAATAATCTTGGAACTTGGCAGTCATGACAGTTACTTCATAAAATACATTATTGTGACATTTTCCCCCATATGTTTAGTGAAATGTTTGGGCTAGGAATTGCCTGTAGAAGCTAAAATTCAGTAAAAGACAAGTCTTGTTACTTGAATTTAGCTGATTTATTACAAAAGAAGGTCTAGAACACTTGGGGCAGATGGGAAATGCCTTCTGGAAAACTGTGGAGGTCAAGTTTGATGTTTCTTTTTTTGTTAAAGGTGCTCTGACAGGTTTCAGAGGTTGGTGTAAACTTGACTATTTATTTGGCAATTGAAGGAGATACCATTTTTGCTTCAACATAATCTTTTTAAATATGTTATCGCTACCATCAGTATGAGGTTAAAAATCGGTGTTTTTTTTAGCAGTCTGACTAAAATTCTGTCTTTCCTCTTAATTGCTAAACTCTGGCAATCATTTTAGTGATTTCTCTGTTCTTCTGGTTCTTTAGTGCTTATGTCTTTCAGCCTAGTCAACATCTGTATGCCTGAGGGGAAAAAGACAAGCTATGAGTAGATTTCTTGCTTGCAGGAGAAGCTTGAAGTTTCATCAATGTGACCCAAAGTTGGGGTTTTTTTTCATTTCTTGAAAGTTCAAAGTAGCATTTCTATTTTTTTTTGGTATCTCATTTAAATTGGATTAGTTGATTCAACCACATAGACTGTGGAAGCAGCTGCAGCAGCAAGACCAAGAACTAATGTCTTGATCAAGACTTGCTTTAGTGCTTTGAAAGGGCTTGATTTTCCTTTTGAACTTTTAATTCATACTTTTATGTCAGAAGAGAGGAGGGGGAAGGTGCTGATTTCCAAATAAATCCCCTGTAGTGAGGGACAGGCCACAGTGCCCTGGGCATGGGCTGTGCCTCCAGGAGGTGGCAGCACAGCTTTGCTGTTATTTCTTGCAGCTGCTCTTGTGGAGAGGGAAAAAGCAGATATTTTCATTCCTATTTGGTACCAGTTTGCTGAGATTTTGAGTGGCAGAAGTCTGAAATTCAGAGTTCTGCAGCCCTGAAGGATGTTTAATGCAAGTGAGCTGGAATTATTCAGTACCTGAATAACTTGACTTGGTTATAAAACATTAATAGCTTGTGTATACAACATCACCTGTAGTTAAGGGGATAAAGAAATTAATCAGCAATGCTCTGCATTTTCATTTTCCCTAGTTTAATTTCTTCTACAAGTATTGAATTTTTTATCAATACCAAAATAGTTCATTCCAACTCATCTTTCATTATGTATTACTTTTTTCCACCTTGTTAACTTCTCACTTTCAAGTTGCAAATAGTCCAAGTAACCTCACAATTTTAGGTTTTTTCCTTTTTGAAGGAGGGGGAAAAATAGTAACACTGCATAGCATCCCTGACTACTATACAGGAGAAGTTCCTTTGTCACAGAACATCTTACGAGATTCCCAGTATTAATTGGAAAACATGGCCTGGAATTTTTTGAATAGAACTCATATTGTCCTTTCAGGTTTTATACTTAAAGGGTGAAGACTATTGTACAGAAACAGTCATTTAATTATTTGGAGACATTGGCCAAATATATGGGGTCTTTTGTCTGTCAACTGCCATCTCTTCACCAGTAGCTGTAAATGAGCTTTGAAGCTCTAGTAGCTCTGAATTTCTCTCTTTGGGGGAAATTTTTTGTTTTCAGGCTTCCTTTTTAAAAAAAAAAAATTAGTTTGCTCACATCTTTGGGGGGCAGCCAATAGTTTTTTCTTCTTTAAAAACATCTTGCATTTTTCCTTCCTTTTCCCATGTAATTATGAAAACATTTATGCTGTTATCTTTTCTTTCTCTTTACAGTACTAATGGAACAGTAATTAATAAATTGAAAGTGGTTAAGAAGCAGACATACCCATTACAAACTGGGGATGTGATCTATGTTGTTTACAGAAAAAATGAGCCAGAGAACAGTAAGTGAATAATACTTTTTAAATTGCATGCTTAGTCATTTTCTTTTGAGTCATGAGGGAAAAGAAATATCAGTATAATAAAATTGAGTAGTTCTGTTTTAAAGAGAAATATGTTTAAAAACAAGTCTCTAGAGAAGAGGTCATGGATGTGCCAGGTTTTACAGAGACAAATCTGAGCAACTGTCTGAAATTTAAATGTGCCTAGAAGTAATTTTGGTAGAACTAATGCATGAATGGTAAGTAATGAGGTTCTAATCACATGTCCAGTGCTTCTTTTAGAAGTCAAATTGCTGGGGTAGTTAGTGATACTTTATATATCCCAGTGAAGCAGTTTTTGGCACAAGTCAGTAGGAAAGGCTGCAAAAGCTTTTTGTTTTGTTTGTGTGGGTTTTTGGTGTGTACGTTGGCTTTTTTTGTTTTAAAGAGGGAAGAGGCAAAATGGGGAGGAGATGGGGAAAGCCCTACAGTGAAAGTAGAATTGATAAACCTGGAACAATGATGTAGTTACAATTTTCATACATTAATAAACATATGAACATCAGTTAAAAAATTCTAGATACCTACTCACTGTTGAAATACTTCCTTTATGAAATTGCTGTTAATTTATATACAGACAGATTTATGCTGTCTGGTGCAAATGTTACATGAAGCAGTGATAAACTGTACAGACAGAAAAATATAGCTTATCTCACAAATCCTTTCTAAGTTGGCACTATTGCACTTGATGCTACTTAGATGAATCACTTGGGTGAATTTTCCAGGCAATCAACTGAATCATTGATTTCCATTTGACTTAATAAGTAGTTAAATTACCAAGCCTCCAGTTTTGCATTTTCAGCTTTTCCATCTTCAAACACAGAGAAGAATTTAGATTTGGCATGCCTGTTTGGCCATTCTAAGTCCTACTGAGGGAGACAATATTTTAACTTCTGATCAGAAAAAGGATTGGTACAAACTAAGACAGTCTCATTTGCTTGTAGGTGGTTGGAGGTGACAAAAAGGTAGCAAGGTAGAGGAATTTTTGGAGCAATATTAAATTGAAGTAAGATTGAAAAGGATATTATCCGGTTGGTGTTATTAATAGATTCTAAATCAGTTTCTGGCTGAAACTTATGGCATGTCCTAATCTGTATTTTTGAGAGTTCATGTATCTCACAAAGAAATGAAATAATATTGATTGAAGAGGTTGAGAAGTGAGCTCAGAAATAATAAGCTTCTTTGAAGAACTTTGATTCAAGTATCAGTAAAAATACAGTCTGTTCTGACAGAGCAGATTTTAGGTTTAAGAAATGATTAAGCCTCTGGTTCCATGGCTGGCACAAGTTAAACGTCACACAAAAGCTGCTCTGCCTGGTTTCCTGAGAAGAAAAGATCTTGCTGTGCTGCTCCTAATTGCCTCCTAAGTAGGAGTATTAACGTGGTACTGTTGAGGTGACCCCTCATTTGCCTCTTCCATTGTCAGACACTTTGGGGATGCAGCCACTTGTGAATAGAAGCTGTTTATGTGGAATTAAGTTTAGGGAATTTTTGTTTAAAGAGCATGATTAATATTTTTAATCTCTTTCAGATGTTGCTTATCTTTATGAATCCTTAAACACAAAACATGATGCAACTCAAGAACCAGTAGGTAAGGAAGTAATTCAAGATCCATGAAGAGGAGCTAAGCTCCAATGACTAATGTAACCCTCTTGAGAGAGTTTGATTCCTTGGAATTTTGAAGCCATGATGTGGTGACTGTCACACAGATATTTTTCTTTCCTTTCCCCCCTTCCAACTGTAGAAGTTAATGTAGAAAACCAATGCCATGTGACCAAAGATACCTCAAGTACAGGAAGAAGTAATGATGAGACCCAAATTACCTCATCACTGTCAGCTACTCAGACTTGCTATGAGGAACCACAGCCATCTACTTCTACATCAAACCTCTTTAATGCTTCTTCTACCTCTCCGGTTGAGTCTGCATCTGTTCAGCAGGATAATCCATCTACATCTGGTGAGACTTGGGTCAAGTATTTAAGGTTTGCTCACACAATCATAGAATATGCTGAGTTGGAAGGGACCCATCAGGATCACTGAGTCCAGCTTATCAACTGTTACTCCAGTTTTCAATTTAAACAGATCGATCTCTTACCCCTATCTTGGGGTATAGAATTTGCTTTGTAAAGTACTAGTGAAAATACCAGGTGGATATGAGCATTTTAGCTTTCTATGAGCAGCCAGGGTAAATCTTGATGGATGAGTGATGGAATTGTGAGAATTCCTTTATGCATTTGTCAGCAGCTCATTGGGACCTCACTGGCTCCTATGGAAACAAAGCTTTCCCTTTGCTGTGATCCCGACCTGTTACGTATGATCAGTATTGCATAACTCCTGCCTGGAATCTTTGTCAGGAAGACCTGGTGTGGGTAATAGTCTTAAGAATAAATACTCCACAAGTGAAAGAGGAATGGGGATTTTAAGTAGGGTTACACAACTAATAGGTTGTTTTCCCCCAGGTCTTCCAATTAGTCAGACTGGTTCAGAGTGTTTAGTAAGTTATGTAGACTTTGCTTTTCTGCTCCACTTTTTCCTATTCTGATGTTTGGATTGATGTGTGTGCCTTATCAGGGTTTGAGTACCTTTTGTTTTTACATGTCCATAGCTGTGTGCAGCCGTGTTCATGTTTCTGTTTTTATTTTATAGGATCACAGTCCTCAGTTGTCACTCCTGTGCCTGCTTTCCCCATCTTAGAATCCATGTGTGTAGGAGCACTGCATGACAAGCATGAAAAGCTGGATGTGAATGCTGAAGCTTCTGCAATCACTTCAGAAATCACTGACAAAGAAAATGCAGAATCAGATCCTCAAAGAACAGGGGAGGAGGAAGGTTTGGAACCTGCTAAGAAGAAACTAAAAGGAGGCTAGTATACTAGAGTATTCTGCAACATAACCCTCACCCCCACCCCTCCAAACTGAATTACAAGAGCTGTCATCAATCCTTCAGCTTGTTTCTTGCATCTCACTTGATTTCTGGTCCCATGAAAATAATGTCTTCAGTAGCAGAAGCTGTAGTGTGTAAAGCAAGAACCTCTTTTGGGACTGTTGCCAGTGAACAGCAAATCAGTGCATATCTTTCAGAGTTCTTTTTAATACTTGACTAAAAATAAGTTTAAAAAAAGCTCTAAAAACTATCTCCTTCTGTCTTTTTGTAGATGAAGATACTTGTCCAAATCTTTCACCAGCAGCTCCAAGTGAATGTATAATTAAAATTGGCTCTGAAGATGCAAAAACATCAAATGTGAAACCAGATAAGATGGAAGAGACATTAACTTGCATTATTTGCCAAGAACTGCTGCATGACTGTGTAAGGTATGTAAGAGTGACAAAAGCTGTAATCATGTGGTAATAATGTAAGACATTCAGTGACAACTGCTTGAGGAGGTCAGGATAATCAGCATTTTATAAGCCCTCTTGATTTTCCTTTTCCTACCCCATCTAGATAGTCAAATCAATGCTAAATAGTTTTTTCAGTGTTATGGATGTATCTGAAGGAAATGAAAGATGTGTATTTTGACTCCATTTATTTATTTTCCAGCCTGCAGCCTTGTATGCATACTTTTTGTGCTGCCTGCTACTCAGGATGGATGGAAAGATCTTCTCTATGTCCAACTTGTCGTTGTCCAGTAGAACGTATTTGTAAAAATCACATATTGAACAACTTGGTTGAAGCTTATCTGATTCAGCATCCAGGCAAGTTGAATAGTGTCTGCTGGCAGAATCCAATGGATTTCACACATGAGACATAAGTGATGTCTATACACACTGTTGTCTGTAAAATGCCTGTGTGTTTTATTACCCTGCTGTTTTCTCTGACATGGCTTGTCAGAAAACAGGTGCATTTAACATGACATAATAACCTGTGGAAAGTGATTTAATACTGTGAGTATGCTAAGAATGCTTCATTTTAATTTGTTACTTATATAGTAAGTATAATAAAATATACTTAAATGTAGATTTAATTAACTTTGATCATGGCCTCTAGAAAACAAAGCTTAAGTTGCCTGATAGTAGACTTCCTTAATAGAGAGGGGAATTTAAGTAAGATGATCTAGAACTCTCTCATTCTAAAACAAGTCTCATGGAGATGAAAACACAATAATGGTAACGTGTTAAGAAAGTAGAGTGAAGATAAGGGATGTGAGGTGTTCCTTTCTCTTGAAATTTGAATTTGGTTCTCATGCCAGATAAATGTCGCAATGAAGATGATGTTCGGAGCATGGATGCCAGAAACAAAATTACTCAAGACATGTTGCAGCCTAAGGTGCGGAGATCTTTTTCCGATGAGGAGGGAAGTTCTGAAGATTTGCTGGAATTGTCTGATGTAGACAGTGAATCCTCAGATATCAGGTATGCCTGCATTTAAATTGTGTGCTGAATTAGATGTGCCTATGTTTCAACGCACAGATCCACAAACTGAGCTAGTTTCACAAATGCTACTATTCTGATAGTGTTTCCATGATCATTGCCAGAATGTGTTTTCAGATTAAGTTCATTCTTGGCAGTAATTAACTTGGCATTTTTGCTGGCCATCCTTTTGAACCTTGAGCGATCAGCAAAAATTAGAACTTCCTAGAAGTCCAGTAAGATTCAGTTTGTGACCAACAGTTCTATGTTGAATTGTGTAACAAAAAATAAGACAGGTTTCTGGCTAAGACCTTGTCAGGAGATAAAGCAGTCCATAATCCTATGAGTGTGTTTGCAATGTTTGTGCTTATGTGCCTGGAATGCTGCTTTCACTGGGTGTATGGTACCAAAGCAGCTGATGCTTGACTTGGGAATTCCCAAGTGCCAAAATACCTCCTCTTCATTTTCAACAACAAACACTTTCTGCTCAATGTCTAGAGGAACAGAAGAATTCTTGTACATAACTATTCCAGCTTTGTTCCTCTCTCTTTCTGTCACATTGCTCTTCTTTTCCCTTTCCTTTTGTTTAAAACTCCTTGAGGAATACCACAAAACCCCAAGTTTTTATCTGTCACAACTACAGCAGACTTCAGAGCTGTAAGGTACTGAGTTACATAAACTTCCATCTGTTACTGAACAAGGAAATCCTAAATTTAAACTTTTGAGAGTCTGACCAACCTTGTCTAGCATAGTGATGCAAGTTGTATTTGCATTTGTTTGGTATAATTTCATATGACTTTATTTTGTTCTTTCAGTCAACCATATATAGTATGCAGACAGTGCCCAGGGTACCGAAGACACTCTGTTCCAGCTGTGCCTGGCACAGGCCAGGAGACAGAGGCAGGAGGGATGCAGGCTCTGGGAGATGCTCCATCAACCTCTGCCAACTTCCCTGCAGGTCAGTGTCACATTGGCCCAGCAGTGCAGCAATAAAATACTGCAGACACTCAGGGCAGAGTCACAGATTGTCTGGGGCTGGAAGGGACCCTTGAAGATCATCTCCAACTCCTCTGAGCTAAGCAAGGAGCTGTGTTACAACAATGAACTAAGTTAGGCCTAAGCAAGATCCCTCTCACAGGACTGTGAGAGCAACTCCACACTGGTGTCTTTGCAAATACGATGTTTGGCTGTGATTGTCCAAAATAGGTTGCTAAAGGTTGATCAGATGGTTGAAAACTTATTAAACTTTTCTACATACTGAAATATTTTACACACCTGTGCTGTTTAGAAGCCTGAATGCCAGTTTTCTGCTGTTTCCTAGAGTCTTTGTAAAAAGCTTGCTTGTTACTTCATGATTTTTTTGTTGTTAATATTCACTGAGATTCCTCATCCAGAATGCAACTGTGTAAATTGTTCAATTTTTTTTTTTCTTTTCACTTTTTAACTCATCCAGCTGTTCAGGAATATGTGTGTCCTGCTCAAGGAAGTCATGTAATATGCACCTGCTGCTTTCAGCCAATGCCTGACCGAAGAGCAGAGCGTGAGCAGAATCCTCATGTTGCTCCTCAGCAATGTGTGTACATTTTTATTTTATTTTCTACAGAACTAGCTCTTTCCTTATTTATTATTAAACTTTAATTTACTGTTTTTTATAGGAATAAAGGAAAAAATAGGGAGGACTGTTTTTTATAGGAATCTTCTTTATTTGGACTCTTATAGTGACAGCATGAAGGAATCTTCCTTTATAGAATTGTTCCTTTAAAGAATGTATTTTAAATGAGAAAGTTGTACCTTTCTTAAACTAAGTTTATTAAGGCTCTGTTGTTACTGATTTCTGAGAATGGTAACTGTTGAGTTTTGTTGTGTTCAGGTCCTTACAGGGGTTTTCTTTGTTATTTTACAGGCACAGTTTGTCTGCAGCCCTTCTGTCACTTGTACTGGGGCTGCACTCGCATGGCGTGTTTTGGCTGCTTGGCACCATTCTGTGGTATTGTGCAGTAATTTTTTTTTATCAGCCTGCTCACTTTACAATAATGTCTGTCTGTCTTGGTCTTTATGTAATTTAAGAGACATAGATTACTTTGTGGCACAGCCATGCAGAAAGAAGCAAGGTCTGTGTCCTTACATCACAAATACATAAAATTGAAGTGGCATGTGTCTTAACATTGAGAGGATTTAACTTTCTGTTGTCATAGAATATTGGGCTTAGAAACTACATTTGCTGAGCAGAATTCTTTCCAATATAAAAAACCATGGTGTGTTTCAGTCTAGTAAGAGAATCATACAAGCCAGTGCAGGAGCACTGCTGCATCCATGGTAATGGATTAGAAAAGATCCTTGCCCTCTTAAACATGCAGACTTCTGAAACTCAAGGTTTTTTGACATTTAAAAAAAAAATAGAATAGTTGGAATGGCTTGGCTGCAGTTTGGAGATAATGGAATGTGCTTTACTGTCACTGGTAGTTTGTGCAGCTTGATAGTGTTTGTGGACTGATGCTGAAATTTTAGGATCTCAGTATCTTGTCTTTGCCACTAGAAGCTATAAATCACATGCATTAGCAAATGTTGAATGCAGTCATGTACTTGGTGCTCACATGAGCCTGTGCATGTTATTTCAGGAAACAGAAGAACCTTCAGAAAATGTGTGAAGGCCATGGGGTTTGGGTGAGAAATAGTAACTTTTCTTCTTCTTCTTCTGATTAGAAATAAATCTTGGTGATAAGTGTTTAGATGGCGTCCTGAATAACAACCACTATGAGTCAGATATCCTAAAGGTATGTTTAAACATCGTTGTGTGTGACAGTAACAAATGTACGAAGTTTAAGATGTGTACTCACTGATGAAATGGAAGTGATGTGCTGACTATAGTGGCGGCATTGTGTCACTTGCAGAACTTAATTTTAAAAGACTGATTAAATGAGCTCCAAACGATCATCCAAAATATTATTTAAGAGAAAAATAATTAAATAAAAACATGCCAGGAAAGCAATGCTTGTTAAATATTTTGTCCCAGACAAGTTAAGCTTCACACTAACTTGTATGGAAAATATTTTGCCCATACTACAACAGGGCTGCCTAGATTAGGCAAACTGGATGAAATCTTGATTTGAGGTAAATCAGAGTGTGACTTGAATTAATCTATTTGCCAACTTTTGGCAAAAGTGGAAATCTGAAAAAAAGATATTCAGACCACCAATAAAACCTTTCAGTAAGTATCATGCTAATTAAGTTACATGTATTTAATTTTTACTTGTAGTCATCATAAACCAATTCTGAAAACATAGTTACTGACAGATTTGCAAATATTTGAGAATAAATGGCCTGGTTACTCTTTAAGGTTGGAGATTCTTCTAGCTTAAACTTAAATTGCTCTTTTCAGGATTACCTGGCATCCAGGGGTCTGACATGGAAGAACATGTTAAATGAAAGTCTCTTAGCTCTTCAAAGAGGAGTTTTCATGTTGTCAGGTATGTGTTGTGTTCAGTTTGCTGTGTGCATGACTCCTTGTCTGAATGTAACTCAGCAGTGTTATCAAGAAGTTTGGAGTTTTGTGCACAGAACCAGTGCAGTCCTGGCTCTTTAGTTAAATCTGATTTATTAAGCCTTACATTTTTACAAACTGGTTTTCTCCCCAGATTACAGAATTACTGGGAACACAGTGCTTTGCTACTGTTGTGGCCTTCGCAGCTTTCGAGAACTTGCCTACCAGTACAGGCAGAATATTCCTGTTGCTGAATTGCCAGGTGGGGATTGTTTTGCACAGTAAGGAGGGGAAAAGTAATTTAAAGAGTTAACATCGGCTTTACCTTTGTATCGGTGTTCTTTTGGCACTTTCATGTAGCCCAGTGCAAATCTTGTTGCAGGGCTAATGTCTTGTGCTCCTTGCTTAGCTTGTCAGCTGTTAAGCTCGTGCATAGTTATTTTCAGACTCCCTAACGGAACTTTTTCTTTCAGTATCATTTGTCATCTGTAGAATAAGTATATCTGCAGAGTGAATAGAGGAATTCAGTAAAACAGAATATAGTCAACAGGAGCTAATTGCTGTAATTAGATTTATTTTCCGATTTAAATACATAAAATGATGCATCTTCTGAACAATTTAACACTTTACCAGCTTTCAACTAGGAGCAAGAATGCTTTCATAAACTGATTCTAAATCTTTGCATTTACATTTTTAGTATAAAATAGGATGGAAGCAACTGTGCCTCCTTCAGACCTAAATTTGTTTGGAACAGAAGCTGTTCCAATAGTTTTCTTTTAAATATTACTTCTGCCAATTTAGCTCTTGCTGTTAGCAACAGCTTCCCAGTCTTAAGCTGTTGAGAATTCTGCTTGTGCTGCTGTGCATAGTGAGCAAAAATTGTGTACCTGGTTTGCCCTTAGCATTGCTTTTCAGTTCAGCTGCTGGACAGCTGAGTTGAAATCTATGTGAAGGTGGGGGAAAGCAGTAAACTCTACCCAAATTATTAATTTTCCTTTTGTATGGAAAAACCTCTAGACAGATGCTGAGTGTCTAATCAAGTCCATCTCTATTAAACTAAATGGTAAAACTTCAGTTGATAGCACTGAGAATCAAATACTTTCATCATAAGTCTGCATTAAAATGAAATTAAATTAAAAAATTAATTAACATTAAAAACTAGTTTTTTGTCCTTCACAGTGTGTTTGCTTTTGTTTCCAGAAAGGTGAAACAATATAGTTCTACAGTCATTTCTTGCCAAGCATGCCTTGTTTCTGATGAGTAACCACCATTAGCAGTGGCTTAATAATCTGTGTCACCTTTAATGACTTCTGTAATAAATGTAACATTTAATTTGCTCTTCTTGTAGTGACTGTCACGTCACGTCCTGATTGCTACTGGGGACGCAACTGTCGAACTCAGGTCAAAGCACATCACGCCATGTAAGTTGTACACTTTAGAAGGTGGTTTTTCTCTGTGTTCCTTAAAAAAATCAAACCAACAACAATCTAAAAAACAACCTTTGAGGTGCCAGAACTTGCAGCATAAAGCAGGGTTGGGTGAGCACTGGGGATATTTTATCATTTTTGTTTTTAACACAACTTTGAAATGAGCCCTCTGTGCATGTCAAGAGCACTGCCAGCACTTGTAAGTTGATGTAACCCATGGCTGACACTTCTTGAGTCTGTTTTTCTACCCACTGGGGTGGAAGGATTCTTTCAGTGAAGTGCAGCTTCCATTGAAGGGATCAATTGGTGGGAATAATTAGCAACAGGAGCTTGGAGAATGTAATATAAGCCACAGCAGGTTCCTGAGGAGTTTCTAGGTCTTACATCTCTGACCCAAGGAATCTGGCATGCCTCAAAAATGAAATTTGAGGCTGAAAAGAGATTAATCTTGTCAAAAGTTTTAATACCAGCCTTGGACTCCTGGTATCTGGTCATTTATGAGAAATGTCCTTCCAAAGTAAATCAAACTTCTTGAATAAACATATTAAGACCTCTGATGACCAGTGCAGTTTTATTCTTATGAAACGATGCACATCTAGTAAGACAGATATTAAAAGCTCATAAAACAAAACAAAAATTTTCTCCCCCTAGGATCTAACTGGTTTTAGGGAGGGTTGAAAAATCCTTCTTGCCTTATGAATAATTCTCTAAATTCTCAGTGTAATTTAAGATAGAGGAGCTGTTACCCCTTATTGAGAAATTGCCTTAATGAATAGTAGATTCTGCAGTATCTTTCTAATGTTGCAATGTACATACACGCTTAGCATAATTCCTTTAATATTTCAGGTACTGTGGGTTGAAAATAACCAGTCTGTGCAGCTCAGGCAAGCAGATCATAAGACAGACTTGTAAAATATTCATCTGCAGTCTCTTACAAATTCAAGGGTTTTACCAAATAGCTTTCAAAAATAATTTTGGATTTAAGTTGCAGATGTAATTTGAAGTACCACTGCTATCTGTAACTTCACATTATAGGACTGTCTGTGTTCCCAGAGGAGATTTTGTTTTGAAATGTTAGTGTTAATTCAGTATCAAAGTACTCACCAGTCATCTTTGTTCACGTTGTGGGTAATTTCATCTAGAATAAAAATGACTCAGGGGTTTTTTCCTTTTTTTTCCTTCTTTCTTTTTTTCTTTTTTTCTTTTTTTTTTTTTTTCTTTGCCCCAAGCTTTAATCCTTCCTAGAACTTTACTGGCTGCTACTCTTAGTTCCTAAAATCCATGAAAGCAAACAATCCTGTCATACCACTCCTTTATGTCCAGATAATTTTTTATTTTTTACAATTGAGCTAAATTGTTCTGCTAAATAGTTAGATTATGTGAACAAGGTTTTTCTGATCTTTGATCTAATCCAGTTGAGGGGGAAATTGAGGGTCTCCTTTGCACCATTTCCTCCTCATGTAGTGACACGCTCAACACCCCAACTTCTGTTTCAGTTGTTTGTCAGGGACCACATGGCCCAAGCAAGAGAAAAACAAGGAATGAACAGTGAAATGTTTTTGAAAAGTGGGAAAAAGTGCTTGGTACTAAATTGTGTTTTTTGTTTAATCCATGAAGACAGGTTTGCCATACCCATAAAACTTACATAATACAGGCTGAGATAAACTTTTTCTTTCCAGAAGATTCTAAGCCACTGAATGTGTTTATGTTGAAATGTATAATTAGCCTGGTTCATTCTAGTTCTTAATGACTTGTGTAATGCTGTCTACTGAAAGTTCCTAATATCTTGCAGGGGAAAATTAATTCACCGATTCCTGTTTTAATTGCCTTCTGGGTTTGAAGTATGCAGAAGTATAGAGGAATGCTTTTTAATAACAGGTTTTCTGTGTGCATAATAAAACTAACGAGGGTTAGACAGGAGAGATGTTGAAAATCCTGTTACATGTAAAATGGCAGTAAAGTACAATCTAAACAGGTTCTGAAAGAGATTTTAGTGTGTAAATGGTCTGCTTTAGACTATTTAACATTTAAAATACCTGGTGAAAGATGCTGACTTGCTTTTGTTGCCTTACTTCTGAGAACTTTGTTACATTTTAATACTCTTATGTTTTTCTTTATTTTAGGAAATTCAATCACATTTGTGAGCAAACACGATTCAAGAACTGAAAACTTGTAATCTGTAGAGAGGGGACAAAAACCTGTTACACTGCTTGTACAGTTTAATGTTTCAGGGGATTGCTCAGTTCCCCCATAGCAGGGAATCATTAACTTTTGCATCAGGTAAGCTGATGTGAGATTTTTAATTTGTAGAATTTTACAGCTGTACATGAATAAGGTAGATTTTTTTCCAAGGTGGTCCAGCAAGCATTGCATTCCATGCTCATGACTGCAGTGTCCCTGTATCACTTCAGTGAAGAACACAAATCACACTCACAAAAACCAGCCATATCTTGGGATGACCTAAGAATAAGGAGTGTATTTGCACTACTTGTGAAGAAACTAAGAAAAATCGTTAGACTTAAAATAGAGAAGTTTTGTAAAAGTATCTGATGGGTATTTCAAGAGCCATTAATATTTAAGAAGGAAATTGTCAGTGTATATTTGTAACTGCATTTTGCGGTAGTCCAATATTTTGTTGCTACCCATTGCATTTGGGCTAGAAACCACATTAATATTCCTTTTAAAAAAAATCCATCCAATAAACAGCTGTTTCAACTTAAAGCTTCTACCGTATGTGCAGTGTTACAGTCGAGGTAGTACAGTTTCCTTTCTTAGTTTAGACATGTTGATGTTTTTATTCACGTGAAATTACAAAAAGAATTGCACAGAAAGTTGAAGTTCATCACATTTAAAGTTGGGGTAATACTTGAAGCAGAACAGACTTCTGCTAATATTACTTCTATAGTGTTTTATATCAGAAGACCAAACAGTGCTTTTGACATAGAGCAGCCAGTAAGACACACTGGTTCATCTTTTTTGTATTTCTTTTCTGGTTTGATACCATGTGCTAAATATGTACCTCTGCAATGCAGCTGTTCCCTAGCATGCATACACTGGTGAAAATGTAGAAAAAGCCATCATTTAGAACAGAATCTAGTGGCTTTACTGAGAGGAACAATCTTACAGAAAATAAGTGAGTTTGGACAAATTGTAGCAATATGGAAACATTTCTGATTAGGGATAGAGATAGGGATCATGAAGGGGCACACTGGTGTCACTGACATAGGAAATGTAGATTTTATTTTCATGCCTTCTGCAGAGCTCATTCAGGAAATGTCCTAAGTGTCATTAAAAATAAAGAAATCCAAACTTTCCCCCTTCCCTACAAATTGGTATGATCTAATCTGTTTCATCATAATGTGGTGGCTAATGTTGACAAACCTCGACTGGGACCAATTTTGTTTTCATCATACCTGGAAGACTGAAGCAGAATGAGAAGAAAGCATACAAAGTTACCTCTGTAGAGACCATGTTGTTTTTAAGTACGCCTTATTTTATGAGCAGGGTTTATACTTGGGTGTTAAAAAGTGTACACACGGTATCTTGTGATATAATGGAGCACAAATGATGCAGCACATCGTGTCTACTGGTTGCAGTGAATTAAACAACTATTTCCAGTAATGCACAGCTTAATATGAATGCTAATTAGAATGATGTCTTTCTGTTTAGATTTTTTATTTTTGAAAATAGCTGTTGCAAGGATAGGTCTGTTGACCATGCCCTTATGCTATTAAAAATACACTTTGGTGTGGACTTCTCTTCCTAATCTCTGGGCATTTTCTCCTGTGAGTAGGATTGAAATTGGATCTGGAATATTACTTGAAGCTTCTTTTAACAACAACAGCGTGTTTCTGTCTTTTAGTATTATTAACGATGTTCTGTTGCTTCTGTATTTGTATTTTATGTTTAGATTTTTTTAATGGTTATTATATCTTCTCAGGACAACCATTCCCAGCTGGTTTTGATCTCATTTTCATCTCTGGCTGTGCATGTAGCAAATTGAGTGCAGTTGTGGAGATCAAGCCTTTGCACATTATATGCAGAAATGTGCTTTACATTCTCATTCACCACTCCCACACCCCAGATGGGCTTTCAGCACAGCCTTATCTCTGTGCTAGTGTTCAAGCCTCTTGTGCTGAAGTTGTTTTGTTGATCAGGAGTAACTTGCATTTACTCAAGTTATGTTTGTGTAGGGGTGTATTGTGTGGCCATAAGAAAAAAAAAAAAAAATTGGGAGAAAAAACCCAAACAGCAGAACTCATGTACTTAACATCTTAAAGTACCTGTGCAGTTGATGTTCTTCAAATTCTTTTTTTAAACCCCTCTTCCTTTTCCCTGTCACAGGTAATTAATCTGCCTTTCTATGCATATAGGGTTGCGGTAGTGCAATGGAATGAAGGGATTTTTTTGTCATTTATATTGTACCAGGAAGAGATCAGAAATTGACTTGCAGATGGGGAGGGTGAATAAATCCTGATCTTTATATGCTCTTAAGTAAGTAAGAGTATCTGTCATGGGTATTACATACTCTACATTAGACCTTTTTTAAATGTATGGTTACCAGGTGATAGTTAATGTGATAAATGTAAGAACTATGCTTGGTGTAATTGTTTAAATACTGTAAAGGTGCAGCATATTTTTAACCTGTCTAAAGCACATCCCCACCTCCTTTATAAGAGATGTTTGGAAGCTGAGCATGAAGTGTGGTAGAATAGATGTGGAAACCAAGGTGATTATGATAGGATTTGACATAGTGGTGGATAAGGTATATAGTCTCTCTCTTTGAAAAAAAGTTCTTTTATAAAGAAGGTGGAGAGTAGTTCTTCCAGTTCTCTTTTGTGGTTTATTTTTTTTTCCTGAACTAAGAAGTTATTAATTAAAAAAAAAAAGAAAAAGCTACTGAAGCTGTCTGTGTTTCTTCTGTGGCATGAACTCTCACCACAGAAATGGATGAATGCAACATTTGCTAATACTCGGTCAAGCTGTTAATTATTTGAATGTTGAGATTTTACAAGCAAATACCATCCCTGAAATTGTAGTGACTGAAAATTACACGAATTTTTACATGAGTCATTCTTAAACTTCCTTAAAAGAGTCAGATGATCCTGCAGAGGATCATCAGTATCTCTACAGGATGTATAATAAATTATATAAGCAAGAGACTAAATAGAAGAAAGAGGGCTTCGAGATGCTAATGAACTAAAAAGTCTGCTACTTTTCAAAAAGCAGTTACTATTTTAGTTTCTTGCAATGCTATAAACACCAAAGTGACAAGTATTTTACCACCTGATTTAATAGCAGTCTAGGTGAAATTACTGTAATACTGTGTTCACCTTTACTATAATTTAATTTGCATAAATTACAACGTTTCAAATGACTACTGTTAATACAACGTTTTCTGAACAGAACTTTAGCCTTGCTGAGTAAATAGGAGGGCTTGCCTGCACCCTGTTGTATCTGAGGTAGAAGACAGTGATGCCAGAGCTGTTAAGCTTCAAGTTACAGTTCAGCATCCCAGGATTTTTGTGGTGCTGCCATTCCTATACTTGAAGCTGGATACCCTTTAATGTTGTAGCTATTCTATGTTGCTGTTCTTAAACCAGCTGTCAGACTAAATTTAAGTGAAACTCAAACTCAGGCTAAGTATTGTAGAAGTGAAAACACTGTGTTGTTCTGTGCACCTGAAAGATGAGCAGTTTTAGTCTTTAAAACTGGTAATTGTGGCTGGCCCTGCACTTGCAGTGGTGGGTTTAAATATTTTATACTTCATTATGTCAACACATGATTTGTAACTAATTTAGTTTGAGGAAGCTACTGATTTGGGATTTATACACTATTGAAGATAAGGTCTGGCACAACCAAAGCTCTTCCAAGCACTTTCTTCATAAAGAATAAAGAAGAACGTTGCTGTGACCGAGAGGGAACAAATGTGTGGCCACTGGCAGCTCCTGGAGCCCTCAGAGTGGCTCAGGTACTTGAACTCTACAGGAGAATTTCTGCTTAAACTCTGAAACTATTTTCATTATATTTAACAGGAAAAACTTGGTATTTGACAGTCCAAGGTTAATCATTAGTTCTTTCATCCAGCAAACAAAATACATGCATTTGGTATCAATTTCTAGTCTTCAGTAGAACTGTGTAAGGTGGATGGCTTAGCCTGCAGCAAGAGCTTAGGGAAATAAGTTGATTCAAGTAAAAGGAGTTAGGAATTTGGGAAGCGAATGCTTATTCCAAATTATGCTCTGAAAATTTGGGTTCTTATGGCCCCTTAGAAGTCTGCTGGAAAGGAGCCTTTTTTTTTATGGTCTGCCCTCTTAAAAATAAGTTAACGGTCACTGAAAGTTAGGAAAAAAACATCTTGATTTTAAGAAGAACATGTGAGGATTTTGCATTTTTTCCACCTACTTTATCTAACATTCTTTCTGCATGATGTTTGGGAGCTGAAATACCACTTACACAATTCCAAGGAATAAGTTCTGAAGAAAACTAATTATACTATTTCCCACAGCAATGCTTAATATGCAAAGATTGCTTCTAAATCTGCTTTCCAGGTCATCCTTCTTTTCTTCACACTTCCATTTTGACTTTCAATGAGGTAATTTCACCCTTAAGCTCATTAGTTTCCATAGGAAATGAATTATAAAAAATGCTAAGTGTGCCATATGAGGTTTAACATCAAAGACATTTCTAGACAGACCATGAATATATGTTGAAGCTGTATTTAGTCTCTGTTGGGTATTCTTTTTGGTGCTGCTGAGTTTCACTTGCTTTCATTAGGTAAGTGTTGGCTTAGAACTTACCTTTTCTTTTCCCTTGCAATCCAAATTAATCTTTAATTGTTTAGAATAAAATCTACTGACTGGACTGTTTGACTCAAATGTCAGGAGGACGTGCTGCCCTCCTGAAGGAAAAAACCCAGCAAAACACTTCTGAGTAGAAAGCTTTGTGCCCTACTCCTCTTAACAAAATGTTAGATTTCTGAAAGGAAACCTCAGTTCTTGTTTTGCTACTAAGTTAGAAGTGGATTTTTCTTGCTAAATGTTACTCTGAATCTTCCAAGTTAGGATGCATTACCTGGATGTTAAATCTGTTGTTTTCCGTTTGAGTTTCCATTCCCAACCAGTTTAAGTACCTGACAGTTAGAACCTCAGCACACCAGATTCTCGTCAGCTTGTATAGCTTCAAGCTTTTGTTTTGAAGCTCTGTTTGTACAGTGAAAAAAACAGGGAATGTTCACATATTTTTGTCCTATTTAGTCTACCTAGCACATTGGCTAGAGGGTTTGATTTGTATATTCCAGAATAATTCATTTTAAAAAGAAAAAAGGTGAATATTACTTAATTTTGTTGAAAAGAATACTTCTCTTTGCTATCTCCATAATGATTTTTTTGACATTTTTCCCCCATCAATTGCGATTGGAAGGATTTTTCCCCCTCTTCAGCAAGTGTTTGGAGTGCTTACCCCATTTGCTGCTTGGTTACAGAACACAGAATTGTGCAGCAAAACCTGCACTGCACAAGGGTGAAACTGAATCCAAGCCCATGCATGAGGCATGAGGTTTTCTGTCATTAAAAGTGGCAGCATAGCTCTCCAAAGTAATAATAGCTGTTAGGAACAAAATAAATGCCATAAGTAATACTATTTAAAAACTAATCCTAGTCAATATTTACAGCTGAGAGTATTAGAGGGCTTTATTCCACCTAGAGCTTTCAGAATTTCTTAACTCTGCACTGTGACTTTTTTGAAGAGTTTGGGTAGAAGCTGTTTGTGTTCTGGCGGGATAAAAAAAAGAAAATATGAGAACTTCAAAACACTTGCTTTAGCTGTAAGAGGAAGAAAATATTTTATACACTCTTTGAAGGTACAAAATAAAACACAAATACCTTGCTATCAGTTTATTTTAGTGATCTGCCTAAAAAGAAAAAAAATCCAAAAATGTCCTAATCAAATAAAAAGGCAGGTCAGGAACTTAAGTCTCCCCTGGGGTACCTGCACCACCCACCTGCAGGCACTGGGCTTCAGTATCATCTAGTGCCAGAAGGCATCACCTTTAAATAGTTGGTAAATCAGCCACCTCTGTTCTGATAATAAGCAGCACGGTTCAATATTGCATGTTCATCAGGAGCAGGGCCTGTCTCACCACATATGTGTGTGTGTGTGTGTATATATATATATATAAATCTATATGTATATAGTCTGTGCTGCAGCCAGGGTGTCAGGTGCAGTCCCGTGAATAATTGGCCATATGCTGCTGCAGCAGGCAGTGATGGAAGAGTGTTCAGGCAGCAGGATCTGAAAGGAAACACAAACTCCCACAGAAACCTCCTCTGGCAGCAGTTAGACAAACCTGGTTAGCAAAGTCTGTTCTTTGGTTACACAACAGGTAGCGGAGGAGGTCGGTGTAAACAACCACCTCATCTTCAGTCTCGGAGAAATTGGGAAGGATGGAAAAAGGCGTTTGCTTCTCTTCTACCACCACTGGGGTACCCCACTCGCTATCCTGGTGCTCTGAGGCACAGCTCAGACTTTCAGCAAAATAAATTAAGTGTTGTTACACCATAGAAATGAGTAGTTAAACATGCTTTTATTGAAAAAGCCACTTTTCCCAGCCCTTCAAATGTAACTATTGTCAATAATTGAACACAAGTACTTTCCAAAAGTAGATTTTAGTATTTCAACCTTTAGAAATGTAATAAGTAACAGAACATTGAATTATGATGTATATTAATGCAGTGGAAGTTATTGTTAGAGTACTGAAGACTTCTAAATACTTTTAAAATCATAAATATATTAACTCTTCCCTTTGAATCAAGTAGCATTAATTTAAAACAACAACAACAAAAATACCCACCAAAAAAGAACCAACCAACATGGAGCCAGACTTTGGCACTTCAAAACTACTCAACACAGTCTGGAAATAATAAATGCAGAGACTTGTTTGCTGTTCATGGTTGAGTCAACTGCTAAAGGGCAAATGTGGTTTTGCTTCCACTGCTACCAGCTGCACGGCTTCTATGTCTAGGTAGACATGTAAACATACAGAGAAAATATAAGGCAAAACCTATAGTCTTGTGTTGCATATCTCAGACATTAATAGGTGGCAAATGGAAGCTATAATAGCAGGTGAAATCATAAATAATTCAGTTAAATATTTCAGGAATCAGTCTTAAATGCCTTCACAGAGAAGGATTAAGATAACTGGATGCACACTGCAGCTAATACAGGGGAAGACTTGTGCAGATGATTTCTTTCTGATACCTGTTTCATGACATACTATTGCTTTAAAACAATGTGCTGTCTCAGCTGCAAAATGCAGCTTCAGCGGGAATTTTTATATTTAAGAAAAATAGTTCTGAATTGTAGGATAAACATGCAGGAGTCTCTTGCAAAGATAGGAAAATATCACCAGGAGGCAATTAAAATACTGATGGGGTTATTAAAGGCAATAGGACTAGAAGGCTTCCCTTTGGTTTAGTGTTCCATTGAATGCCCTGGATTTGTACTCGGGGAGGCACAGCCACATACAGTTAATTTCTAAAGAAAGTGAACTCTCAAAGTTTGCCCCACCTTAATTCTGTCTTTCAAGTCTTGCCTGCTAAAGGAAGTGGAATAGTTCTCTAGTCAGTGTGCGTTACCAGCAATAAATAGCTGGTGGATATAGGATCAGAGCAGCTGCAAATATCCAAGTGTTGGATGCTGAAGACTATTCCTAGTATTTCAGTGTTTTTGTACACATGCTCCTGTTGCCATGAGGAGTCATTTAATGTAGTGAACTGAGGTGTTCTAAGCCTATGTAGACCTAACAAAGATAAAGCTACATCAGACTTTAATTGAACAAGAATCTGGTATTGGGTTGCTCAGCTTGTCTGTACACTTCTCTAAAGAGGAGATGAGATAATCTTGTTCTTTAATATTAGAGTTGCTAATACTTGGTAAGCTTTGTGCTAGACTGCAGAAGATATGAAATACTTAAAATGAAGTTTACAAAACTGTATGCAAACATGCATGATTGAATTCTTACCCTTGGCTTGGCAAGGCTTGGATTGTACAGGCAGAACTATAAACAGAAGTTAACTCAGAGCTCCCAACAGAAAGACTCAAGTGATACCACAGGGACAGGGGACTGATTTACAGTTCAGATATAAACCATGGTGTGACTGCCCCAGGTTACTTTCATTCCCATCCCAGAAAAGGGTTTCTGTAGTCTGAAGTACCTTTTCAGTGGATGCTTTCTTGTACAAACTACATCCAAATCTCATGCAGGAGAAAAGAGATGAGGTTAGTGAGCATAAGGGGAGATGGCATTTGTGCTGTGCTGTGGTTTGTATCTTTGTAATCTCAGTCCCTACATGTGGGAAGCAAAGACTGCTCTCAACAAAGCTGCCACATGTGACCGCCACACTCAACTGCTCGGCACAGCTTCTGCTCTGCTCTTGTCCCTGTTCCCTCTAGGTTTGGGAACTGATGTTTCAATCTTTCTGAGGACATCACTGGACTGAAGCTTGGCACAGCGTAGGAGCAGCAGGGGTGTCACAGTTCTGTGAGGTCTCAGTAGTGTTGGCATCTCCACCTGCTGAGCTCTGCTGGTCCCTGGAGGAGCTGGGGGCCTTCCCGTGACCTTTGTATGAAGTGGGGGATTTTGCCCAAAGGGGAAGACTCGATGTGAAGGTGGCAGAGCTGTTCCCCTCTGCAGTTGGAACCACTGGCTGTTTTTCTGGCAGGGCCAGAGCATACACAGCATTTTGCTCTGGCAGGTGATCTCCACACTGACTAAGGTGTTCTGCCAAGACCAGAGGCTGCTGATCATCCCCTTCTTCAGAAATAACAAAAACTGGTTTGTTTTTATCTGTTTCTGCCATAAGCTCCTTTGTTTTTGAACCGTTGACCAAGTTGATTTTCAGTGGGTTGGAGCTCTCTAGAAGATTTTTGGGGCTTTGGCTGTTAACTGGAGATGCTGCCCCTAGATGTCTTGAGGGATCCAAGGACCTTACATGTTTGGTGTCAGGGGAACTGGCTAAAAATCCAAAATAAGGGTTCCCAAATCTGGATTTCTTCAAATTGCAGGAGGTTAACTTCCGTTGCCTCTGTGCAGACAGAGTGAGGGGGTATGAAGCATTACTGGCAGATGAATCAGAGTAAACAGTCTCTGATGCTCCCTCTATCTCAGTGGCTGAGATTACCTTTCTGGTTGGCACAGGTTGAGATCTTGCAGCTGTAGAAAAGCCCTGCACAAAATAGTACCAAATTAGTAGACGTGCCGTAAAAAGCAGCTCTCTCTGGAAACATTGATCCCAAGAGAACTGAAAGTTAAAATTCCTGGTTATTTTAGTGGTGAGACACATTATTTAGGAAAAACCTATGTTATTACCTTAAAAAGAAAGAAACATCCTTTATTAGCTTTGTAACAAGCTGTTGGTTTGATGACTACAGTCAATGAGACCCAGATATCTCTGCCACACCTACGGATTCCTTGCAGTGCAATAATAATAAATAAATGCTAATAAATTCAAGGCATAACCAGGGGGGGAAAAAAAGCACATGTCAGAACACTCAATGAGATAATCTTGTCTGAAGGCATTTCTTAATGTTCTTCTGGTCTGGCAATAATTTCTTAACCAGGTGCCAACTGCTGGAAAATACAGCTGCTTAATATTTTAGGAAAGCCTGGCTAAATCACAGTATAATTAGGCAAGAGACATATATTTAGGCCATATACCAAGGAAGATGGACTGAGATGTGTTTGACCTGTAGGACAGAGAGGTGAGGCACTGTCCAAGGGGAAAACGTGTGCCATCAGTGAACAGTGGGAAATACTGGAACTGAGACCCCAATATCCTCCCCTCCCTGCAAGACTTACACTGCTGTCAACCAGCTTTGTGAAGGGGCTGTTGGTGCTCCAGCTACACCATTTTTTCTGTAGCTGTGGTATTGGAGCCAGGAAGTCGTGGAAGGTGCGGGCGCTCCACGTGCGCTGCCTGGGACAGGGATTCTCCAGCTGCACATTCCCCTTCTCAGCAGCATCTGCCCCTGCAGCCGTGGGGTGTGAGCTCAGCCAGTCAGACACAGAGGCTGGGCTTGTGACACTTCTTTTCAGGTTTTTGTCCTGAAAAGAGTAAATGAAGATCATTTACAGGCATCTTTCATCAAAACATTTTAAAAACACTTTGAAAACAGGCTGTTAGTGCAAGAGACTGATTGATTCAGCATTCTCAGAGGATGCAACTTCTCATTGTTCTTCCAGTGCGCTGCCTGAAGCTTGCTGGCTTCCCTGGAGGAAAGTTTTACCTTGATTGCCCAGTTTCAGGTTTAAAGCTAAAGTGGGAAATTTCAGCTACATAAGATACAATCTTACAACTCTCACTTAAATATATGTAATATCTACAGCTTAATTTTACTGGAAGTATTTGATAGATCAGAGTCATAAACTTCACTGTGTAAAACAGAATTCTTCCACTCTGTTTAGCTCTTGGAAGGCTCCAGGTGTGTCTGTCTGGGGAAATAAAACTTAAGGGGGATGGAGCCTGCTGAAAGAAATCCAGAAGCAAGCAAGAAGAGAATCAGAAGTCTCAAAAATGCACAGTTTGGGAGAAAAAAATGAAGTAAGTGGTGCTCTTTATCCTAGGGATAGGGAAGAATTAAAAAATAAAAATAATGAAAAATAAAGAGAAAGGAAATAATCTGTTCTCAGTGTCTGTCCTGAATAGAACAAGAATCACAAGAACTGGATTGGAGCCAAGGAGAGTTGCATTTCACATAAAAATGCTCTTCGGGTGGACAACATGCTTTAGGAGTAGAACAAGACATCCAGACAGGTGCAAAATTGGCATCATCGGAAGGTGAGACTACATTAAACTGCTGTCACCAGCCCTGGCTATGAGCAGAGTTGATCAGACATGGCTATAGACAAGCATCTCTTCCATACATCGTAAGTTCTGATGTTGCATTTGAAATCACGATTTTTGTACTTGATATTGATATGAGCTTAGAGCCAGAAAAGTTAGAGAATCCTTGACATTCCTGTGAATCTCCTTTCATTCTTACTAATACTTCACCTGTTATTTAAGCCTCCTGTTACACAACTCTATACATATTTTTAATTTTCAGCTGTGTGAATATGGTTGTCATGAGAAGAATGCAAAATCCACATTCCCAAAGTTTACATAGTTCTTTAAAGAGTGTCTGAAATAAATCCCACAGTGTCCTGGATTTAAAAATCCTGAGAAACCAGAAACATGTAATTTGTTATTTCTGAGAAACTGAATCTCCCAAGTTTCTGCAAATCAAAGAAACTATTTAGTGAATGTGTCATATTGGAAATGAATGGGCAGAGAGGCAAGAAATTAGCACTAGATCAGAAAAAGAAACTCAGTAGGAAGCCAGGAGAGGCATCAGGCTCTGGATAAGTTTGTTTCAATATTAAGATCCTAGTCTAAGATTTTATTAAAGGGACAATCTTTATTTATAAATTTTTAAGCTGGCTGTCTTCTCAGTGTCCCTTTCAGGCTTAGGATTTTCTATTCTAATATTATAAATACCTCCAAACTGACATAAAAATTAGCCACTGGTTTTGAGATAGATACACTGGAAGTAACTGGGAAGATGAATAATGTATTTTCTAGATTTTGAAAAAATGGCAAGAAATGTTTGTTAAACTTCCACTATCATACTCTTTACTCAAACCTTCAGAAGTCTGAGATCTTGGTCATAAATTAACCAAAGGGTGACTGATGCTATAAACCAGAGGGGATTTAGAAAGCCACGACTCTATTGGAAGATACCTGGATTCTCCCCAAAAGCTATCCCACCCTCCATTTCCTCATGCCACTCACAAACAGAGGGGGTTTTTTGCTCTCCCTACTCATAACACGGAACTGGTATCTTCAAATAGGTTTTAAAAGCTGCAGAGCAAAATCCAGTTAATCACTGGCTCAGGCCCAGCAGAGCTGAGGCTCACACTCAGGGACCAAGCAGCCAGACACAATTCCTCAGGGAAAAGATCAAGATAACTTTTTTAATGAAAGCTCCTTATAACTTGACAAATTCTAGTCAAGCATTTTACGTGAGGTGAGTCTGCTGGCATTATTTACTGTACTGTGAATGCTCAGGATTTCACACGTGTTTTCACATGGGAATAACTGCTTAGCTCCTGCCAAGGAACGGGCTATGCTCCAGCAGATCTCTCATCCCACTGCCTAGTGCTGGGCCACAGAGCCATGCACCATCTCCTCCGTGAGGCTTGTGCCTGGCTGGCCAGCAGCATTTCACACCCTAAAAATACACATCTAAAAATTCAACTGTAAACACGTCTAACATCAGGAACCCTCGGTATCAAGTGGCCTGATGAGAACCCCTTTGAGTGCAGGTTTCTAATTAGTCTGCTGGGCTCAGTTTCCATCCCCCTGGAGAGGATGGTCTTCAGCTGTGGGGAAAGAAAGGCCCAGGGCTTTGAAAAAGGCCCTGCCGTGCTGCCAGGCTTGGTTTTCTATTCCTTGAGGAATTTGGTTGGGAGTATTGCCTCACTTGTGTGCTTGCATGGACATCACTGAGGAGAGGCTTGCAAACTAAATAACATGTTTAATTCTTTGGGTTTTCTTAAAACTTTTCACTGCTTTAACACTCTTTTATTTATTTTTTTTTTTAATGTATAAATACCCTCTGAAGATTGCTTGCAGAAGCAATGTCAGAATAGAAATGGGGGGTTTATGTGTATTTGTTCCTTCTGACTAAAGTGGGGAAAAGGGGCAGGAAAATGGTTTTCCCTCCTGCCTAGAAACTGGATATGTGTGGGGCTGCCACCAGGTAAAGCTCTCTGCACTGGAAAGGACTGGGGAGAGCAGGTGTTTGTTCAAGGGTGCCCAGTCTGGCTACAACTCCCAGTGCCCTGCCCCACAGAAGGTGATGTTCAGGCAGGGGAAGGCTCCAGAGCTGTTTACCATTCTTTCCCCCTTTCTGTTCATCAGGGTGACCAGCTGTAGGAAAAGCCCAGCACGTGTCCTACACCAGCGTAGGAAAAGCCTGACCAGCCTGGCCTCCTGGCTAATTTCCTAATCAAGTGCAGGGATACAGAATGCTTTTGTTTTTTAAACTGTGACAGAAGTATTGCACAGCCTGTCCTGGGCATGTGAGTTCCTTGTGCTGGTTGTTTATCCTCTTGTGGGAAAAAGAGAGAGGGCACTGGAGAAGACAGTATTGACCTGGGAAAGCTTTAGCAGACATTAGTAATGAATGTGCTCTGTCTGCACTCACTCGAGGTTGAAGAGGTGACAGCCAGACCTGAGGCTTCTGAGCCATCATCTGTTCCTAAACAAATAAAGGACCAGGAGTCTGGGGGAAAGAGCTAAAATAAGAGAGAGCCTGCTAAATCAATTCAGGTTTCTGTTTGAATTTGTGAGGCCCTCAGTGCTTTCACTTGAATTAATTGATTTTTTTGGAGCCTAAACTCTTAATTTTCACATCAGCTTGGTGAGACATTTTCTGCCAAGCTGAGGAACTGAGTAACTTCCCTGATCACTTGGAGTGCTGGGGAGGAGTAGGTCTGACTCCCGGGTCTTTCAGTAGCTACAGGGGGTAATTTTAATGGAACATTAGCTTTGCCAATTAACACTTCTGCATGTTGGTCCTACTGCCCGCTGGCAAACGTCTCCATTATTTGCTAGCAGAGGTGAGGTAGGGTTCTGCATTTGCTCTTCCCAAAGCTGGGAAGATACTGGCTCAGGGGATCACTGCCCACATCATTTGATGACAGCTCAGCTTGAGGGGTAGGAGAATTGCCTGCCTAAGTGGGCATTAGGCATAAATGGACAGGTATGACAAGTGCTGTCCAAGAGGGACATCCTGCTTGCTAGAGGTGCTGGGGAATGTACCTGTATCCTGTAGGTGGTAAAGCTCAGCCCACTGGTCCCAGGTCCAGCAGAAATGATAAACACTTCATCACTCCCAGTCTCAGTGGTCACTGCAGAGATGGAGGAGGGCACATCTGGGTCAGTGTCCTGAGGAGACCGTTCCGTGCTGCCTCTGCAGGAAGTGACTGGGAAAGGAAGAAAAATCAATAAAGACTGCTTGCAAGAGTCCAAAACATCTGTTACCAACTCCTCCATGACAAGCCCTCCTCCCTCCCTCCCTCCCTCCCTCCCTCCCTAGACACTCCGGAATGGGCTTTGGCTGGTTG